ACCTGACCTATCCTATCCTAACCTATCTAACCTGACCTGACCTATCTAACTAACCTGACCTATCCTAACCTGACCTATCCTAACCTAACCTGACCTATCCTAACCCACAACCTGACCTATCCTAACCTGACCTATCCTAACCTGACCTATCTAACCCTAACCTAACCTGACCTAACCTATCTAACCTCTACCCCAATGTAAAATATCTTGGTAATAATGATTAATCCACGTTGCTTTAGTCTCTTATTTACGTTCAGTTCAGTATAAGTTATCGTCATTTCCTTCTCTTTTCGTCTTTTTTTATTCTATTTTCGTTCCTGTTAGCAAAAATAAAGAGAGAGAGAGAGAGAGAGAGGCCATATCATGACCTCCAACACTTAGCATAAAGAATAACACACACACACACACACACACACACACACACGTCAGCATGACAATGACTACATGGTTCTCTGTCCTCACACGCCAAGCTATTGTTCGCCACTACAGGCAGAAGGTGGGGGCTGGCGTAGATATTCACAGGTTGTTTATGAGAGACGGAGAGGAACGCCAGAGAACGTCACTACAGGGGTATATGGGAGCGCCAGGCGATGGTTAATACCCGTACTGGCGTTAAGGACGGTAGGAGGAAGCAAGGGAGAAGAGGAGGAAGAGAAGGAGGAAAGAAGGGATGAAGAAAGTAAAGGAAGAATAAACAGAAAGAAGGAATGAAGGGAGGAAAGGAAGGAAGGAAGGAAGGAAGAAGGAAGGAAGGAAGGAAGGAAGAAGGAAGGAAGAAGGAAGGAATGAAGGGAGGAAGAGGAAGGAAGAAAGGAAGGAAAGGAAGGAAGGAAGGAAGGAAGGAATGAGAAGGGAGGAAGGAAGGGAAGAAAGGAAGGAAGAGGAAGGAGCACCTGTAATCACCTGCAATTAACATAAACTCTAACAAGAAGGAATTAACTATCAAGGACGAGCCAGACTAATGTACGGCGGAGCCTTTATACTATCATACACACACACACACACACACACACACACACACACACACACATTAATACACAGCTACATACATACATACAGTTATATTTTGTCACCTTAAGAAATAGAAAGAAAAGAGAGAGAGAGAGAGAGAGAGTCAACCCAGGCAAATCTCCGTAAAAATTCCGTATATCGAGGTAGCTGACGTCCGTTAAATGAGGTCTTTGCGTCAAGTAATTTTCTCGTTACGTTCGTGTTTATTTTAGGCGTAAGTTGTTATGGAACTTTTTTGTCTGTTTGTTTATTTTGGGGTCAAGTCTTTAAAAAGTTAAATAGGTGGGGGGGGAGGTACTTTGAAAATAATGATGTGTGTGTGTGTGTGTGTGTGTGTGTGTGTGTGTGTGTGTGTGTGTACGGTTTCTGTGAGTGTATGTATGTGTGTGTGTAGACCCAAATCTGTACAAAAAATCCCATTCTTGATATCCTTTAACCCTTTGAGGACGACGACTCGACCCTCCAGGACTCAAAGGGTTAGACGGCAGGTCAGAGGTCAAACACCAAGCCATTGAGAAGCATTGACCAGAGTACACCTTTTCAACCACGAGTCATAAACTAACATAAATCACACCACCACTAAATGTGTTGAACCTTCCATTAGTTTATTCTTATTATAGCCAACAGGTGAGTTACGATACCTATTAATATCAGGTAATAATGATTTCCACACCTGGATTGGGAGCAGAGTTTCGTAGTGAATTGTCGAGGATTGGTTAGGTTAGGTTAGGTTACTCAAATAAACTCCATTACTGTTTATCTAAGTTGACACAGGTACGGTAGATGACCCCACAGAGGCAGGTGAGAATTATAATTACACAGGTGAGGGAGGTGAACCAGGTGTGGGTCTGTAGTACACGCGATACTGCACCACACCTTGCATGATCACCACTACTATCACCACTGCTACTACTGCCACCACTACCACTAATACCACTGCTACTACTACCACCATTATCATCATTGCTATAGCTACTACCACTACCACCACCATTACCACTGATATACTTACCACCACCACCACCACCACCACCAGCACTAGCCACTCTCATCACCTCACCTCACTACTACCATCACCTTCCACCACCACCACCACCACCACCACCACCACTACCACCACCACCACTACCCCCAATTAATACTACACTGATATACTCTATCACCACCACCACCACAGCACTACTACCATCACCACCACTACCACCAGCATTTACTCCACCAGCACTACTACCACCACCACCACCACTACCACACCACCACCACCACCACCACCACCACACCATCACCACCATCACCACCAACCACACTACTACACTACCACCACCACCACTACCACCATCACCACCACCACCACCACCACCACTACCACCATCACCACCACCACTACCACCATTCTACCTGCCTTGACTCAGTAGAGAATAACCCCTACTACCCAATTTTCTTGAGTGTCTTGTTGCTATGACTGTCTCACGTTGTTGTTCAGAGTGAATCATTGACACGACCAGACTGAGATGACTACCCTGACACAAGTGACGTCATATGGCAAGAATAACATGACACAGTATGACATATGAGCGATAGACATGACACAACTGACACATATATGACAATTTGACATGTTAGCTACTGAAATGACACCAAATGACATAAATGACACAGGCATAACCTAATATAATATGACATGACACACTGACATGACGCAGATGACGCCATAATAACCTCTACCATCACCTCAGCACCTCACGTCTACAAAATTGTTATCACTTTATCTCTTACGTCCTTAATTATTATCTCTCCCTCCTACCTCTAATTATCCCTCTCTTATTCATCATTTTTTTCAATAATTATCGTCTTTTTGGGGAATAATTCTGTTTCGTTCTCCGTCTAATTTGGTATAATTGTTCCGTCTCTTAACATCTACTTTGTAACCCTCGTATATTTTCCAACAATTATCGTATTTATATAATGAGGTGATGGAGGGGTGGAGGTGGGGGAGGTGAGGAGGGGGAGGGAGTGTCAGGTGTAATGAGGACATGGTGGGAGGGTTTGTTTGGACGTACATACATACATACATACATACATACATACACACATACATACATATATGCACATAAGTCTCACATATTCACAGAAACAGACAGACGGACAGACAGAAGACAGACAGACAGAAGACAGATAGACAGAAGACAGATAGACAGACAGACAGATAGACAGACAGACAGAGAGACAGAATATAAGTTACTGTGATATATTATGATTCTCTCTCTCTTTCTTTCTCTTCCGGTTTCATTCCAGCTTTAAGTCTTTTGTCTCTCCCTCTTTGTCTGTCTATCTGTCTGTCTGTCTGTCTGTCTGTCTGTTAGTCCAGGGTTGTTATCAAGGGACCATGTCAGAGATAAAAAATTGCATAACATTACTTTGTGTGTGTGTGTGTGTGTGTGTGTGTGTGTGTGTGTGTGTGTGTGTGTGTGTGTATAAAGATGTTTATAGTGACTATATGATTTTAAAAGTTAAATATTAATATGAAAGATTTAAGTTCATAGTGAAAGAGCGAGTGAGTGGTGGTGAGTGAGTTAAAGAATACACTTCATGGACCCCCCGGCACACACACACACACACACACACACACACACACACACACACACACACACACATATAAAAATAAATACAAAATAAAACACCACCACCACCACCACCACCACAACACGTACAAACTCAGGTGTGAAAACCAATTAACCTCGTATTACCTGGCCTTACTTACAGCATAAACACACCTAAAAATAAACACTCGTCTCGTCTAATTAATAGCAAGATACAACTGATAAAATGGTGAGGGAAATGTTGAAGTGTTTAAAAGTGGAAGGGGGTCGTAACGAGGGGGGTAGGGGAGGGTCGTAACGAGGTAGGGGAGGGTCGTAACGAGGGGGGTGGGGGAGAGAGGGAGTGTTACGAGGGGGGTAGGGGGAGAGGGAGTGTTAAGGGGGGTAAGGAGAGGATAGGGGGGTTAGCGTGTATGACCCAGGGCTAATTAGGCTACAGGTGGAGGTGGACCGGCCAGGTATAGTGTGTCAGGTGAATTATCAAGTAGTTTGTTCAAAGACTAAAGGGAAGATTATAATAGTGATGATTAACTGTTGTAAAATTGAAACTAAATTAAATATACAGGTAAAACTATGAATAAATTAATACACAGGTGGAACTGGGAATCAATTTAAATATACAGCGTTTAACAGTAATAAACTAATCACAATATATGACTCACACACACACGTCAAATGTTACTAAGTGCCCAGACAACTGTACACCTCGAATATTTGTATAAGATGTGAGGAATATTAGGGGAATATTATACAAGGGGAATATTCAACACTAAGACGATATAGAGGGAAAATAATATTCCCTGAAATAATAATAATAATAATAATCTGGTGTTACTTGGAGGTATATATATTGCTACTTGGAGATATATACAGTATGTTACTTGGAGGTATATGCGAGCATGTGTGAAATATATTTAGGTATATTCAAGGATAATCTAGAAGGAATATAAGTCAGAGTTTTAATACTGAGTTATATATCTGTGTGTTGGTTGTAACTTGACTTCTTAATGGTGTCGTTACTGTAGTGTGTGTGTGTGTGTGTGTGTGTGTAGTACAATGACTCATAATAACTCCACCAGTAGGTACAGTCTCGACTCATAAGCTTTCCGACAGCAGGAATTTGTGCTTAAAATACCTCTCCACCACCACCACCAACAACAACAACAATAAACACAATAAACACAATAACAACAACAACAGCAACACTCACCTGGGGTACTCATAAAAACTCACATCTCACCCAACAACCTCAGTACTCATAAAATTATTCCACCATCGCCCCGTACTCACAAAAGACCCACCTAGGGTACTCACAGAGCCCCGTACTCATAATATCATCCTACCAACGGCTCGTACTCACAAAACACAACTCACAAGTCATCTACTTACATGGGCATGTTGAGGTGGGTGTCGGATCGCCCCTGTCGACCAATAGATAGCGAGGAGTAGTCCTTGGTGCCCCGTGGGGAGCCCCTGATGGAGTCCTGGAGGGGCGGGGGGGCTGAGTCAACCAGCTGGTGCGAGGGGGCTCCAGGTACCTCCAGTAACCGGACTGGCTCGGATATCTGGATGAGAGGGAGTGAGAGGGGTGTGAGAGAGGGGAAGTGGTGAGAGGGGGATTGGTGTTAGAGAGGGGTGAGAGAGGAAGGGGGAACAGAGAGGGATGAATGAAAGCGGGAACACACACACACACACACACACACACACTTAGCAACCCACCGTGTTTATGGAGTCACTGTGGTCAACTAGTATATATTATTCACTCTCAGGTTCACCCTATAGATCACCAACACACAAACAGTCTCATCAAGTCACAAACATTACATAAACAAGCCAATCAGGTCACAGACAGATCACAAACAGATCCCCAAGAATATAGACAGATCACAACACCAAGACACAAACAGAACATTTAACATAAAAACATAAAAATAGTAACAAACACACAAACAGGAGAGAGAGAGAGAGAGAGAGAGAGAGAGAGAGAGAGAGAGAGAGAGAGAGAGAGAGAGAGAGAGAGAGAGAGAGAGAGTCTGAGTCTTGAACACACTTTAAACAAACACCAACACAAACAACACAGTAAGTCAGTGCTCTGTTTGTCTGTGAACTGCCTTAATGATCACAGACAAACAGACAGAAAGAAAAAGCAAGAGTCTGTGGAGCGCTCTGGTGATCACAGACAGAAGGAGTCATTACATTTGTCAGAGGTCTGTCCAAAGCTCTGGTGTGTGTGTCAGTGAGTGAGTGAGTCAGCTGGTCAGATGGAAGCCGGTCATAATAGACTCCAACCTGACCTGACCTGACCACTAACAGGCGCCAGTCCTGATATTCCCCCTAACCTAACCTAACCTAACCTAACCCTCGGGACCTAATCTTAAATGAATCCGAACAATGAGAGTGATTCCGAAAGTGAAGACGATCCATTACGGACAAGGTGGACACAATGGCACATTAAGCCTTCAGTACACAGCGTGGCCGGCACTACACTCGACCCCTTCATTTCCCCAACATGATAGTTAGGTACCCATTTACAGCTGGGTGGACTGGGAGCCCCCGGGATTAAACCAACGACTTAGAACAGGATGCCAGTGCTGTATCCACTCAGCCACCGCACTCCAATCCGAACAATAATGGCTAGGTTAAATTTGAGCATATAAGGAGAGGGTCCTATTAGCAGTGAGACCTAAAACCTATTAGGACTGGGACTTATAAGGAGTACGACTCATATTTAACAAGTAGTCGTTTGTGTTGACAGGCAGTGATCACCCAAACACACGGACACACACACAGACAGACTCACAGGTCCCGTCCACCGTGGGTTGTAGAGACAGGCAGTGATCACCCAAACACACGGACACACACACAGACAGACTCACAGGTCCCGTCCACCGTGGGTTGTAGAGACAGGCAGTGATCACCCAAACACACGGACACACACACAGACAGACTCACAGGTCCCGTCCACCGTGGGTTGTAGAGACAGGCAGCGGTGAGCTCTATAAAGTAGTGACGAGGACGAGCATTAATAATGTGTCTACGGATACCAGTGTTTACGGTCGTCAGTCAGGGTAGTGTTTGTTTATGTTTGTGATCAGCTGTTTGGTGTGGTCAGTGTTTGGGAGAATGTTTGCAGTGTTTTTTTTATCGATATGTTCAAAGGTATACTGTGCATATAAACACTCATATACATATACGCACTTTTCATTGGTTAACGATATAGGAACATAACTCTCTCTCTTTCTAGCACACAGACATATATTTCAAAACACGCACGCACACACACACACACACATTAACTCACTACATAATAAGAGAAAACAGTTCATAAGCATCATGAGAGAAGAGGAACATACCAACAGCTGCCGGATCACCCACCTCATCTCTCCGCTTCCTGGAGGGGGCGTTCTGATATAGTCTACTAAATACATCGTTGCTGGTGTTCTGCTGCTGCTGCTGGCGTCGCTGAGGCTCAGGGGCGGGTCCCTTAATGGTGCTGGTGACACCCGGGTCCCGAGCCTTGGGGGGGATGGTCTTAGGTTTTGGCTTAATCTCGGGTTTCCTGGAGGCGACTGTGGGAACGTCGCTCCGTCGGTTGCTGTGCAGCCGGTCGAATACGTCCCCGATGTTTTGTTTCTGTTGCGATGCGACGAGAGGGGCGGTAACTGACGTCCCCGAGGCGGGTTCAAGGTATCGCTCGTGAAACTGATCCCTGTCTTTCGTCGGGTAGTTCCTGCTGCCGGCGGCGTTCCCAATCCGATTGTTGCCGTTGGCAGGGTAGCTGTTGTAGCTGCTAGTGGTGTTGGCGCCGTAGGGGGCAGTCCCAGCTGTGTCGGAGACTTTATACCCGTTGACCGAGTTACTGTTGGCGCCCTCGTCTTTCTCCCCCTGGTGAGCCGCCTGGTACTCAGAGGTGAGACTCTCCAGGTTCTTCGGCACAAGTCCGCTGGCGATGATGATGGGCGGACTGTCTCTAAAGTCCTCATGGATTCTCTCCTTCAATGAAGAACGAAATTCCTCTTTCTTCTGAGTCGGCCTCGTGTCCGTCTTCTTCAGGATGCTGTGTCTAGGTTGTTGATTTTTCACCCTGACGGTCTGCGCCCCGCGGCTCTCTCTCACCCTCGACCTCCAGTTCTGGAGTGATCTGTCGTCATAGTCATCATCGTCGTAGTAATCGTCATCATAAGAATTATTCACATCTATCTTGCCGAGTGATCCACGCCGCTGTAGCAGTGGTCGCGCGGCCTCCCTGGGCATGTAGTCCTCATACTCTCTGGGCTCCCGGGAGTAAGGGTCACTACTTGGCTTCACCACTAAGGGCACTTGAGCTTTCTGCCAAAGGCTCCCTTTAGTGGAAGAGAGACGATCGAAGATCCCAGTTGTGGCACTGGCATGGTCACGCACCGCCAGCGGGCGCGACACTCCTGACTCATTTTTGGAGACAGCGAGAGACACGGTGGAGAGTGTACCTTCAGGGACCTCCACGGCTGACAGGGAGGTCCCGCGGGGTGTCGTCTGGAAGGGCATGGCGCTGTTACGTGGTGAGGTGGGCACACTCGTCTTGTCGCCAGAATTTGACTTTGCTGACTCCACCAGAGCTTCTACCAATACATCCCCCCTTAAGGATGTACTCGGACCTACCACGCGGTCAGTGGAACGTGACGGACCTGCAACATTTGTGCTGGGAGGAACAACTGCCTCAGGATCATGTTGGGGGACACTGCTTAAAACTTTCTCTGAATCCTTCGCTTTAGCACTGCTGTTCGTTCCTGCATCTTCCTTCACTTTAGGTACAACTTTCTGAGGATCACTGGCGTCATTTTCCTCCGCACCTCCGCTCACCACAACGTCTGAGGGACCACTGGCAGACACCGAGAGTTTCCCGCCACTACTCTTCACGCCTGTCGTGCTACCCACTACTCCATCCTGGGGTATTGATTGGTCCGCGTTGGCCCGCTTGCTGGACGCTGATTGGTTGCCGGGTTTCTCATTCATTTTAACTGCGCTCTTATTGGTTGCTAGAGAAATTGTCCTTACCTGGGTCTCTTGTGAATGATTGCTGGAGGTCGAGTGACTGATTTGTGGTCCAGGATGTTCTTCAGAGGCTGAGTTGTGACTCAAGGAGGAGCCTGATCGGGGCGTCTGGCCGTGCACATACAGAAAATTCTCCTCCGCTGTTATAGCAACGAGGGATCGGCTCCTTTCGATCCCTGAACTGGATGAGCAACCATTCCTTGATGCTCCATCATCTTCCTCGTCTTTCTCGTCAAGGGCTGAGATTGCGGACCGTAATGACTTTAACTCCTGCACGACCTGACCATCTGTGTCCACAGGCCTCGGGATGATCAGCTTGGGAGTCTGGAGTCTTGGAACACCGTCATCAATCAACAACGGAATGTCCACGGTGAAGACGCTGACCTCAGGCAGCGGCTGTGTTTTGGGCTTCTCGGTGGCATCGAGTTTTTCTAACATTTTTCTCTCTGTTACTGACCGACTGTCCTTCAGTTTAACATTATTGTCGGCAACTGTCGCCGCACCAGCAACTGACTGTTGTGATTTCTGGAGTTCTTTAGATTCCTCCTTTTGAGGACCCTTGACCGTCTCAGTACTTTTATTACTTTCTGCTGTACTTTCCTTCGGTACTTTCTTGTACGAATTAATCGAATCCTGATTCTCCCCAGTAGCTCGTGAGAAGGACCTCGAGCTGGCGGCTGAGTGGCGGAGAATTTTCGTTGGTCTTGACAGATCTGACGTAGACGGGAACTGTGTGTCGTTCTTGAGGAATCTTTTAGCTGAGACGATCACTGACCGGGACTGCCTGGATAAAGCAGGTGCCGGGCCTGTTGATGACGCCGTGGTTGATCTGGCGGGCGCCTCGTTATGTTCGTCCACGGTTTCTAAATTGATTTTGTTATCAGTGTTATCTGAAGCTCTGTCTCTTGAGCTCGGTCTCTGGGAGAGATCAGTCTTTGAAGCCCTCTCTCTGGAGTTCGGTCTGCTGGTGACACTTGGCGACGTAGCTCTGTCTCTGGAGTTTGGTCTACTCCTCCGGCCAGACTGAGGAGGTCTTTCTCTAGAGTTTGGTCGACTGGGCAGAGTAGGCCTTGATGTTCTGTCTCTCGAGGTCGGTCTACTTGTACCGCCCGAAGCTGCAGCTCTATCCGTCGAGCTTGGCCGACTGGTGACCTCGTACTTCGAAGACCTGTCACTCGAGTTTGACCTACTCCTCACCTGAGACTTTGCAGATTTACCAACAGACCCGCTCTTGGCAGACTCGGGTTTCGAAGCCTCGCCTGACGTGGGTGTACCCGTAGCGCCAGACCTTGAACCTCTCACGCCGTTAGACAAAGATGCACTAATCCTTCCAGAGTTGGGCCTGCTGGTGGCCCCAGACACCGAAGACTCACCTGGAGGAGGTCCATCATCACCTCCCTCTTCTGGCAACACAATAGGTAGACTGATCTCAGCGTCGCTTTCCTTCTCAGCATTTTTCTGTTTGCTGAGTAAATTCTTCTTCGCCATGGCCAAGCCCACCACGGCGGAAATAGACGACGAAGGCATCACGAAATCCTCATCTTGGGGTGTTGGTTCGTGGACCTGTACTGGCGTGTCTCTGGGGGAGGAGGGTAAGGAGGGCGTGTGGTAGCCGTAGGTGGTGATCTGACGGATGGTCGGGGCACCGTGGATCATGCCCTCATCTCCATCCTGCTGGTGCTGCGTCGTCTGAACTGCTCCGCCAAACCTGCGAGAAGATGTCATTAAAAGCCATAGTCATAAACAGTATCACCTTCATTAATAGTGGTGCAGGTGGTAGTAGTAGTAGTAGTAGTAATAACAGTAGTAGTAGTAGAAGTAGTAGTAGTAATAATAGTAGTAATAGTAGTAGTCCTTGTCGTAGTAGTTGAAGAAAGTATCGTTGATCACAATAAAATACTTCCTTGTATTTAATTACAGATATTATGGTTTATTTCACGAGAAAACAACAACTAAATCTAAGGTTAAGTTGATAGGTGATAAAGGTACACATCATGATGGTAATATAAACACAAAACATCAACAATAACAAACAACAGAGATAAACACATACAGAGCAAACAAACAAATAGGATATAATCACATTAAACAAATAAAAACAATTATTACGGTCATAAAAATTAATTGAACCAACACAGACGCTCGCTTGACTTTTCAATTATATATCATAAATAATTTGTTTTACTTAATACGTCTGTTTGATATTCCTAATGAAGTCTCCCGGGGTGATGTTACACTCAGATACACAAACAGTTTTTGGGTTATGTTGCACTCAGACACACGAACAGACTTTTTATTGACTTTCCGTCGGAATTCAGAAAATGTAAATGGTCGTAACTGAACACCAAGGAGAACTACTGACTGGCGCTGAGTTTTGTTTGTCTTTATTAATATATTTTTCTTATATTATTTCACCCTAACCTAACGTAATCCCCAGGTAGCATTAGGGAGTTTTATAAATCAGGGTCTAGATGTAAAACCTCCATCTAACGGATTTTATGGAGAGAAGAGTCCGTTATATGGAGGTTTCACTGAGAACCTTTTAATTCCTAAGGTTATATTAATTCTTTGTCGTATATTTATTATTGTTGTTGTTATATATAAATCAGATGTAATGAAGAGTTGCAGTGATTGTTCCGTACACCAGATGGAGGAGAAGCATTAGTCACCCTTAAGAAACTATTTTAATCTCTTCAGCCTTCACTTGTCCCGCGAGAAACTATTTTCGAATCTAGACTTGAACACTGCTGAAATATATAGAGAGTAACTTTAATAAACATTGTAGTAATATAAGAGGTTTGTTCAGGTGTAAAATGAAGGTGACACGATTTTTTTCTGTGATATTTTCGTCTTTCGTGTTAAGTTAAGATTACGTGAGTCCTTACGTAATAAAACGAGTGAAAACGACCAAGGCAATCATCCAGACCCAAGAGTTAATGTTCACTTATGTATATGTTGAGAATATATACATGTATAAAGAGTCTGTACAGTGGTGCTGCCCCAAACACTCGTGGCGAACATTACTGCTCGCCTCCTCGGCCACCTGGGGATTCGTTTACCCCAAAGCTCCGGACACAACACTCCTGTCAGCGATTCGACTCCCACGACCAACACTCCTGCCCTCCACTGTATGGGGGACAGGGGACAGCTAGGGGGTATGTAAGGAACGTGGACTGAGCGGTAGACAATAAGTTATCAGAACTTCTTTTACCAACAGAAGCAACATATGTAATTACGGCGGAGTTGTTTAACATGTTGCCCCGAGACCCGTGTTAAAAATATACTAATGTTGACACAAAACAACTACCAACCGTAAGACTATACGTAGAATATAACCTTTATACCTATACTGAATCCTCCCCAGGACGTCACAAGGCCACAGACAGTGATGGAGATTCACAACACAAAACTCAGGTCGCTGTAAATTACGTGTCATTAGAGACGAAAATAGCAACATAATAACAGCGCGGGTAATCACTGTATTAACCCCGCAGTACTACAGGCAAGTAATTTAGTAGAATCAGTTTGTATAATTGTTAGTGTGTTTGTACTACAGTTTGTCTTGTAGCGGCTACAGTACACCACAAGTAGCAATATTAAGCATCAAGATCAACCTGTGTCCTGAGTGTGACCTTAGCGTGTTCGACCTGGCGGAGTCTTATGCAGTAAATCAAACCATGTAGAAGGGTACAGGTCATTCACTGAGTCGATGGGCCATTACGACACGCCACACAACACAACACACTCACCAAAAGTATATACTGGTGTAACTAAGGTTTGTGTCTCAGGTTTTCTATCAAGATAACAGCAACTAATAAGAGGTTAAGACGAAGTAATGAATATTGAAACGATTACAACACCGCGGCCGTAATTTCGCTCATATATATTACAGTATGCATGGAGTAGTTTCCAGTTTTTAATTCAACTCTTGTTTTTGTTTTAGAATTATCATAACGCACTAGAACTAATTATATCCTTGAATAATGAGATCATAAAGCCAATACGTCTTCAGACTACATTACAGAGTACGGAGGGCCGACTTGAAGGGTCACGTTCATACAAGAGGGCCAACTTCAAATATCATAGATACTCCCTTAACTTATTTCAATCCGTTTTCTGTAAATAAAAGATAAAAGTTACAGAAAACGTATTTTAGGAGTAACTTTTTTATTCACCACCAGGTTAATTCCTCATAAAAGTCATAACAATCATTCACGTCCGTATACCAACAATATACTTAGATTTAATACTTAGAATTATTGTTTGATGGTGATGTATTACAGAGCCGATACAAGGAGTGGGGTCTCGGGACAACACAAGTAAGTTATACAATAGTTCCATGTACAAGTCAAGTCAAGATGGCCGCGACACTCTACCTTCAACCGTGAGGGTCAAGGTCAAGTGCTGGCAATATACATTATTTATGACAAAAGGGCCATTATGACAGAGGGACCATTATGACACAGGGACCATTATGACACAGGGACCATTATGACACAGGGACCATTATGACACAGGGACCATTATGACACAGGGGACCATTATGACACAGGGGACCATTATGACACAGGGACCATTATGACACAGGGACCATTATGACACAGGGACCATTATGACACAGGGACCATTATGACACAGGGACCATTATGACACAGGGACCATTATGACACAGGGGACCATTATGACACAGGGACCATTATGACACAGGGACCATTATGACACAGGGACCATTATGACACAGGGGACCATTATGACACAGGGACCATTATGACACAAGGACCATTATGACACACCCAGGTATTATAACATATACCCAAGTGACTATATTTCGTGTACAAGAACTATGAATCATTTTACATCTGGCAGGGGACGTTGTAGCACTAAGGACAAGGGGATCAACACTGCCTCTCAATCCTATAAACTCCAGAACTAAACGAGCATAAATAACATGAAATTGAACATCGTTTCTCTAGAGTTTAACGAATAACTTAGGATTGGATTCTACTTGAGATCAAAGCTTGGTTGTTTTACGTGTTATGTTCTCATTTCTTATTATGATTCATGTTATAATGCGTTATTGGTCAGGACATACACATAGCCTTTGTACTAGACTTTTTATGTAGTATTTTATGAGGGAGAATATTTCAGAGGAATATATAAATTAAAATAATGTCAAAATATTTACTAGAAAAATAAAGTAAGGTTTTGTGAGTCATTAGTTAAGCTATTGGACGCTTAGTAGATTATGCTATGTAAAGGAAATATACTGTGACCTTTTTAGGTTTATTGCACTGTATTGATAACTCTGTATAGTTGAACTATTTTAAGTTGCTCTCCGTGTATAAGTGGTATTGTAAGTGCCTCATCCTTGTATATTTGATGTTGTAAGTGTGATCTTAACATGTCATGACACTTAAGTACCAAATAAGTGTAAGTGAGGCGCAGTTAAGGTGGAAAATTTCCTCTGATATTGGGAACACAAGAGGGGGCTATGGTAACACAAGGGGTGGCCCAGGTAACACAAGCTGGTGACACAGGTAACACTAGGGGGGAACTCACGTAACACAATGGGCAGTGCAGGTAACACAAAGGGAACTCGAGTAACACAAGAGAGATAGCAGAGGTAACACAAGGGGTGATTAAAGTAACATTAGGGGTGACAGGTAACACTAGGGGGAATTCAGGTCGCACAAGGGGTGGAAAATGTAACACTAGGGGATACTTCATCAGAGAGACAGACACACACTCACACGTCACCAGGCGGTTGAGAGTTATTGGTAGACAACACGACACCCTTACCCAACCCACCATCCACCCCACCCACCCTACCCACCCTCTCAGACACTCACCACCCTTCCCACCTACTCAGAAACCCACCAACAACCCCACCCACTCTGAAACCCACCACCAACCCCACCCAATCTACCCACCCTCTCAGACACTCACCACACACCCCAACCACTCAGAAACCCACCATCCACCCCACCCACCCTACCCACCCTCTCAGACACTCACCACCCTTCCCACCCACTCAGCAACCCACCACCAACCCCACCCACTCTGAGACCCACCCTACCCACTTACACACCCAACCCACCACCAAATCAATCCAAACCTAACCTAATTTAACATAACCAAACCAAACCATACCCAACTACCTTAACATAACCAAATTAAACCTTACTAGCAAATTTAACCCAACCCAAACAAATCTAACCAAAACCTAACCAAACTACACCTTGACTAAATATAAAGAGCTTCCTTCCCCTCTTGTGTACAAACATTTAAGCTCAACCCTCAGCGGACCCCACCCAGCACATTGTAAACACCGTGACGTCATAATGTTAAGAAAAAAACACACGGAAGGTAAGAAAAATTAAGAGCAAAAACTTACAGCAAGAAGGATTAATTATCTACCTGACTTAACTTAAGCTACTTGACTCACCTGTTAATTAAGAACAGGTGTTGATTGATGGAAGGGGTCATATGTTAATTGTTTGTTTTTCAAATTAACTAGACTAATTGAGCGCTGAGAGAGAGAGAGAGAGAGAGAGAGAGAGAGAGAGAGAGAGAGAGAGAGAGAGAGAGAGAGAGAGAGAGAGAGAGAGAGAGAGAACTTTAATTCCGAATTGTAAGTGTAAAGTGCAGGCTTAAGTAAGCGACCAACTGTTGAGTAGAGAATGATCGACGACACCTGCTGAACCTCAC